CATAAATAGCGCTATTTACTGCGAGGATCGCACATCACACGTATCTAATACCGCAGTTCAAAATATATGAACTTCATATATTCATTGCATCTCATTTATCACTTTTACGGGTTTATTACGAATCAACTTAACGGCCTGCTCCCAGTTGGCTTGTTAGCTCAATTGGTAGAGCGCTGCACTAGTATCGCAGAGGTCAGTGGCTCGAGTCCCGTACAGGCCTGATTTTTTCAGGTCTGATTTTCGCTATTGCATAAATAGCGCTATTTACTGCGAGGATCGCACATCACACGTATCTAATACCGCAGTTCAAAATATATGAACTTCATATATTCATTGCATCTCATTTATCACTTTTACGGGTTTATTACGAATCAACTTAACGGCCTGCTCCCAGTTGGCTTGTTAGCTCAATTGGTAGAGCGCTGCACTAGTATCGCAGAGGTCAGTGGCTCGAGTCTCGTACAGGCCTGATTTTTTTCAGGTCTGATTTTCGCTATTTCATAAATAGCGCTATTTACTGCGAGGATCGCACATCACACGGACTCTCTATATTGATAGACACCTGCACCAAAGTAACCAAAACAGGGTTAGTCTGTTCTAATCATTATTTTTTAAGAGTAATTAAATAAAAATGGTTGAGTGCGTATCGAGCCAAAATCGATGTTCGAAATATTGAAATTCTGTCATGTCCATGGCTTGTCATCATGAGTCGGAAATTATCTGTGAACTTTCCTTTGCAATAACATTATAGTAGGGCCTTGAACAATTCATTGATGACATGAAAAGCAGATGTGCTCTAGTTATAAATATTTTATGAATTTTTTCTCGAGGACACCTTGCGGCTGTTTTTAATAGCTCTATGGTACCCTAAAACAGCTGCTAGAGACGCCCGTCGATACGCGAAGAAGAACCCAATAACTATATTGCAGATACAGTTTAAAGATAGACGTTCTCAGATATACTTTCAATTTTATGGGATAATTTTCGGTTTTGCGGTAACCCTGTTTGAAGTTTGCTATTTTCGAGATTTGCTGCAGCCGTCATATTGAAGTTTCAGCGGCTTACTGTATTTTGGGAAACAAAACGAAACCAAACGAAACCAAACAAAACCAAACGAAACCAAACGAAACGAGTAAACCCGTGCTGTATTCTGCGAAACCAGCTCTTCGAAGACTCTAGCGATATATAACTTATTTCTTCCGATTCTGAAACACAATTCGTAGATACAACTTGATGCAGTGATGATTCATAAATAAAGACTTTGAGCCAAAAGGTCAGAAGTGCGCCGTTTCAAAAATTACAGATATGTAATTTGCGAAACGAGCTCTTTGAAGACTCTAATGATATGTAACTTATTTCTTCCGATTCTGTAACACTTTTCGTAGATACAACTCGATGCAGTGATGATTTTTGAATAAAGAGTTTGAACCAAAAGGTCAGAGGTGCGCCGTTTCGAAAATTACAGATATGTAAATCTGTAATTTGCGAAAGGAGCTGTTCGAAGACTTTAGCGATATATAACTTATTTCTTCCGATTCTTAAACACAATTCGTAGATACAAATTGGTGCAGTGATGATTTATAAATAAAGACTTTGAGCCAAAAGGTCAGAAGGGCGCCGTTTCGCAAATTACAGATATGTAATTTGCGAAACGAGCTCTTTGAAGACTCTAATGATATGTAACTTATTTCTTCCGATTCTATAACACTGTTCATAGCCACAACTCGATGCAGTGATGATTTTTGAATAAAGTGTTTGAGCCAAAAGGTCAGAGGTGCGCCGTTTCGCAAATTACGGATATGTAAATCTGTAATTTGCGAAACGAGCTCTTTGAAGACTCTAACGATATGTAACTTATGTCTTCCGATTCTCTAACACTTTTCGTAGATACAACTCGATGCAGTGATGATTTGTAAACAGAGAGTTTGAGCCAAAAGGTCAGAAGTAAGTGCGCCGTTTCGCAAATTACAGATATGTAAATCTGTAATTTGCTAAACGAGCTCTTTGAAGACTCTAACGTTATGTAACGTATTTCTTCCGATTCTCTAACACTGTTCGTAGATACAACTCGATGCAGTGATGATTTGTAAATAAAGAGTTTGAGTCAAAAGGTCAGAAGTGCGCCGTTTCGCAAATTACAGATATGTAAGTATTTAATTTGCAAAACGAGCTCTTTGAAGGCTCTAATATCATTTGGTTAGTACCAGATGAAAACCAGGTCAAAATTGGAGTTCTGCCCTTTGACATTGCTGTAGCATGTGTCAGAAACCTTACGCGCACCGCCTCGTATGTATGTTTGTACATTTATTAAAATCTACAACAATTTTGTTATTTTTTACCGGCCGCCTATTCCAGTTGATAGTTTATGAACAGAAAGCAATTTATCTTTTGGGACTTTTTTCCTGTCTGCTACCTTTTTTTTAATTACCATATTAGTCTTTCCGAAACATTTCCATATCAGGTTACTAGTTATTTCTCATTCTTACGCAATGGAATGCGTGACACGTGTGAGATTTGGTGGGAAACTCGTTTATCGGTCAACATGGCATTCAAGCTTCCATCCTTTGGTTTGCTTGGGCGTCCTTCAACTGTTAAGCAAAGTTCCGATTTAGATAGAATCCCTAAGTTTTCTTGGGATGAAATTATCGACAAGAACGAGATTGGCCAGAGTGGCTTTGGATGCGTTTTCAGCGCCAAACGACGCGGTGGAGGGTCGATTGTTGTTAAGAAGCTCATCCGGCAGCATGACCGTGAGAAGCGTTTGTTCATGAAAGAGGCGCGGATCCTCAATTCCCTACATTACAAGCATATCGTCGAAATCAAAGCTGTATGCGAATGTCCTGTAGCAATGACGCTTGAGTACGTATATTTTGATTTCACGCCATTCGGTCTTGAAGGTCGGGTAAGTTCACTGCAAGACTACTTGGATTACAGGAGTGGGAAAGAAGAAGTACTGTCAGTGTTGGCCTGCTTGCACAGCAAGATAGCGGAAGACACCTCTCTTGGCCTACAGTACCTCCACGAGAGAAATAACGCGCACAGAGACTTGAAGCCAGGAATAGTGTTTATTTCTAACCAGCATTACTGCCATTATAACAACGAGGATGAAATTCGAGAAGCCTGGGAGAAGGAAGCTGTCCTTTGCAAACTGGTGGACTTTGGAGAATGTCGAGCTTCCCTAAAAACAGACTGAGACATTATGTCACTCGAGAACCACCAACGTCGACCGCGGAACTGTTGTCTATATGGCTCCGGAGATAATCACTAGCACAGGCGAAGCTTTGTCCCTTGAGCAATTGAAGGCCTGTGATGTTTGGTCATTGGGAATGATTATCTTCCTGCTATTGAATCCTGATTTGGAGTTCCCCTACCAATACGAGCTTGACCAGGTTCCGCAAAAGAACTTCCAAAGCTTACGAAATGAGTTAGTGAGTAGATTCAGAGAACGTATGTTACCGACTTGATCTTCCAAATACAGCAGATTTCAAGCAACAATCTGGCGAGAAATGGAATCAATTTTTCGCCAATGCGCTCTTTTTTGTTCTAAGAGCAGGCCTAGAGTTCGCGAAGTAGTCCAGCTGTTTCAGGCTGCTAAAATCAAGCCACTATGCAGTGACATACCACTCTCGACTAGCCAAAGCACCGTAATCGAGCGCCATGATAGGCTTGTCGCAGTTGGAGATATTCCCCTGGATCAAAATATCCCAGACGATGCTACCAACAGCTGCGCCTTTCTATCTATCCTCGTCATAGAGTTGATTGCTAGGAAGGGAAGAGATTGGGATTCTTTTTGTGCAGCCGAACAATAGTACGCGCTGTCCAGAGAAATCGAAAAGATTATTATGACTCAACCCACGCGGTTCAACCCCTTTCGAGATGTAACAAAGCTGTACGATGTTTCAGAGGCTTACACTATTCTACGAAAAGCAAATATTTCATCTGTAGAGCTTGACTTTCGTGAAGAGATCGTTACTTCTCATGGAGTATTCTCCAAAGATGGACGGGATTCACCCCTCAAAGGCGTTAATGCATTATCCACTGCCTGCTCGGTTACCAACGTTGCAATTTACAGCTCTGGCCGCTACATTAATGTTATCGGTTGTCATGGCGACCAGTATTTCATCGTGGACACGCATCCCATATCAAAAGAATTGGGGGGTGAGGGTACCGGTCTTCTCAAAGTATACCCCGCCCAGGATTCGCACTCGGCATGTCATCTCTGCTCCTGGGTATGGAAAAGGTTACTGCTAGGCGGTGTTCCAGATGACTCCCCGCAGTCATTTTTGGTTTCTGAGGAATCACACAGGCTAGTGTTATTATGACTGAATGACCGAACGAACGAACGAACAAACTTACGAATGAATGAGGTATTCATTGTGTAAAATCAGACTTACTTTACGATCGAAATCAGGAATAAAGTAGCTAGGATGGACAAAGTAGGAAGTTATTCATTCAAAATATTCGTTTATAAAAGGGTACTGTAACCATAAAGCATGATTTCGAGAAAAATATACCTCCCACCAATAACGGTTTAGGCCATCTCAATTTAATACTTCGTTTCCGATCGCTAGACCGACCCATTCTTTTTGGAAAAATAAAAAAAAAAGAATTTCCAGAATCACTTGAAAAGAAGCAAGTACTTTAATTTACAAGAACACGATGTTGTCTTATTAACACCAGTTGTCAAAAATTATCATCGATACTTCTTTTTTTTGTAGCCTTTTTAGAAATTTGATAGTCCTGTTAATATACATTTTTTACCATCTAATTATCTCTTGGAGACTAAACGTCAAATTGAATTTGCAAAAGTAAAGTGGAACACAGACCCCTTCATGTGTTCAATCTTTTTTCTTTTTTTCTTTTTTTTTGGGGCCTCACCGACCGACCTAACTTCACGAAAAGGCGATGGGAAACGAAACATTTTATTGGGATGGCCTTATCTCTGAAAACGTCACTACATAAATGATAACAATTATTAGGAAGTAAGGATGGAAAGGATACAAGTGCATTACAATATGGACATTTGACAATCGTGACAGTCTGGACGTTTTTCTAATAAATTCCAGTATTGCTTGCCGGGAAATGTACGATACCATTAGG